GAACCCGCCACCTTAGGTGTATGTGGCTGGCGCCTTAGCCGCTTGAGCCACAGGCGCCGAGCCAGGAGAGAAAATATTTAATAAATCTCACTACATTAAAATTTAAAATGTCTGGGCCAGGTACAGTGGCTCATGCTTGAAGTCCCAGCTATTCAGAAGACTGAGGCAGGAGAATCGCCCCGTTGAGTCCAGGAGTGCAGTGAGCTATGATTGCACCACTTGAAGTCCAGCCTAGGCAACAAAGCAAGATGCCATCTCTTAAAAGAAAAAAAAATAAAAGAAAACACTAAAACTTCTATTCTACAAAATAGTTCACAAAGTAAAAAGAAAATGATAGACTATAAGAAAATTCAGTATATAACATACAAAGGTTTGGTAGCTAGAATGTAAAAAGAACTCATCAGACTTATAAGAGAAAGATAAACCCATAGAGAAATAGGCCAAAAAATATAAATAGGCAAATCAGAAAAGAGAATGGAAAATAAACATAAAAACACGTTCAGCCCTCAAAGAAGAGAATGCAAAATGTTTAGATACCACCTCATAACCACTAGATTAGCAGAAATCAGAATTCTAACAAAGTGAGGGTGTGGGTGTGGGAAAACAGGAATTCATAATCACTGCAGACAGGTGAGTAAACTGGTACAATAACCCTCAGGAGAGATTTGGCAGGATCTAGTAAAAACAAAGATAAGCACATTCTTTTAGCCACCAGGACTACTTCTAGGTATATTTCTTTTTTTTGAGACAGAGCCTCAAGCTGTCCCCCTGGGTAGAGTGCTGTGGCATCACAACTCACAGCAACCTCTAACTCCTGGGCTCAAGCGAGTCTCCTGCCTCAGCCTCCCAAATAGCTGGGACCACAGGCACCCACCAGAATGCCCGGCTATTTTTTGATTGCAGTCATCATTGTTGTTTGGCAGGCCCGGGCTGGATTCGAACCCTCCACCTTAGGTATACGTGGCTGGCGCCTTAGCCACTTGAGCTATAGGCGCATAGCCTCTAGGTATATTTCTTAAGGAAATCTTGTACTTGTACTTGTACTCCCAGGAGATGTGAATAAAAATGTTCATAGTTGCATTGTTTAGAGTAGCAAAAAAAAATAAAAACAATCTAAATTTTCATCATTGGAGAACAGAATTACAAGGTACTCGTAAAATGGAATACCAAACAATAATTACAATAAATTAAGGACATACAGATGTATCTCAACACAGAGAGATTCCAAAAACATTGCTGAGGGGAAAACTCTTTGTCGAATTATAAGTAACAGGATGATAACATTTCTCTACATATTTAAAATAAGGTGACACTTTATTCTGTTCATGAATACACATTTGTTAATAAAATACAATGACATGCATGACAATGAGAAACAAATTCACAGCAGTAGTTACTCTGAGGAGGAAGGGGAACAAAATGAACTTAAACTTTTAGGAAAATTTTATTTCTCTCACTTAAAAACAAAATCTAAAGCAAAAATAACCAAATGTTTTTTATTTCTGATTTTTGGATCCATAGTGTTACTGGCATTATTTTCCGTACTGTGCTGTATTTTTTTAACTTAAACTTTTATTCCAGTCATTCTGTGTCTTCTTAACAACTCCAATCAGAGGCTCAGAGGAAGAAAAATGAAACTAGTTAAGAGCCAGGCTCACTCCTGTAATCTTAGCACTCTGGGAGGACGAACTGAGTGGATTGCCAGAGCTCATGAGTTTGAGACCAGCCTGAGCAAGGGTGAGACCTCATCTCTAAAAATTAGCCCAGTGTTGTGGCAGGTGCCCGTAGTCTCAGCTACTCGGGAAGCTGAGGCAAGAGAATCGATTACTTGAGCCCAAGAGTTTGAGGTTGCTTTGAGCTGTGATGCCACAGTACTCTACCAAGGGCAACAAAGTGAGACTCTGTCTCCAAAAAAATAAAAAACTAGTTAAGATAAGATTGGTGGGACTCTGAATTTCTGCAAACAGTGCTGCTTTTGTTTCCCACCATCCACAGCAATCAGAAGTTAGGAGCGAATAGCCAACCCCCTCCCCAGGACAACACACCCCACGCTCTGTTACAGGGAAGAGGCTGCCGAGGTTCTCCAGAAATGTTTGTCTCACCTCTCGCACGTGTCTTTTCAGGTGCATGTATACGCTCTGACCAGTTTTTCGAAAATGTCTTTCAACATGCTCCCTTCCAAAGGCCAAAAATGTATTCATGCATACATAGAGTCCACCTTCAGAATTCTAGAAGAAAGAGACAGAGTACAACATCAGCCAAGGAGTCTAGATACAGAAAAAGGAGGGGGCAGGCAGCCAAACAATGAAGACAAAGCCTGGCACAGGGCCTGAGCAGCAGAGCGCCCTGTTCACCAAACGCCAGCCAGGGTCAGTCGGGGGACATCCTCAGAGGCCCAGGAAATACACACAGCCTCTCCAAAGTGGAGCAGGGGAAAGGGCTAGAAGAAAGCCGGCAAGGGGCCCAACACCACCGCCACCGTAGTGGTTCATCCCCAGCCTTCCTCATTCATCAGTCCAAGTCACCAAGAACATAAAGGCTGGGGGGCGGGGTTGTTTATTTGTTTTGTTATTTTTCAGACCGAGTCTCACTTTGTCACCATGGGTAGAGTGCCATGGCCTCATAGCTCACAGCAACCTCAAACTCTTGGGCTCAAGAGATCTTCTTGCCTCAGTTTTTTTTATGTATAGTAGACATAGGGTCTCTCTCTTGCTCAGATTGGTCTCAAACTCTTGACCTCAAGGAATCCTCCCACCTCAGCTTCCCAGATTGCTAGGGTTACAGGCATGAACCACTACAACCAGCTCAGGAGCATAAAGCTTTAAGTCTTTAGTAGGACAAGGTCCTTCAAAACTGTATTGTTTCCCACCTTTGGTGGCACGTGATATTTTAGGGCAGGGATCCTCAAACTTTTTAAACAGGGGGCCAGTTCACTGTCCCTGAGACTGTTGGAGGGCCAGCCTGCAGGACCTGGGACGAGTTGGCTGCTGAGCAGTACAGGCAGTGGTGGCAAAAATACCCAGCAGGCCCAATAAATGTCCTCAGTGGGCCACATGTGGCCCACGGGTCGTAGTTTGAGGATGCCTGTTTTAGGGTATCCATTTGAAAATTATAGTAACGTAATAAATAAATACAGGTTGAATATCCCTAATTAAAAAATCCTCAATCAGTGAGCATCATGCCAGTGCTCAAAAAATTTCAGACTTGGGGGTATTGCATTTTATACACACACACACACACACACACACACACTCACATATATATATGTCTATTTTTTTTTGGTGGGGGGACAAGAGTTTCACTCTGTCACCCTTGGTAGAGTGCCATGGTATCATAACTCATAGCAACCTCCAACTCCTGGGCTCAAGTTATTTTTTTTTTCTCAGCCTCCCCAGTGGCTAGGATGACAGGCACCTGCCACAACCCCCAGGTATTTTTAGACATGAGGTCTGGCTCTTGCTCAGGTTGGTCTTGAACCCATGAGCTCAGGAAATTCACCTGCCTGGGCCTCCCAGAGTGCTAGGATTACAGGTGTGAGCCACCTCACCCAGCCAAGGAACACTGTATTATAAATTGCATTCTACCATTAAGTATAATACAAATAACCCAAAATCAAAAAAAAATCTGAAATCTAGAAACACTTTATGTACCAAACATTTTGGATGTAGGATAATTAACTTTTAATAAAAACAGGTAAATAATAAAGGATAGAGTCCTATAATAACTATAGTACGTATCACTGTAGGTCTGATATGTGCCAGGTACTTTATATGCACTATTTCTAATGCCTGCAGGCACCTTATTATTATTTCCATTTTACAGTTTTAAAAAACACTAAAGATGGCTCAGCGTCTGTAGCTCAAGCAACTAAGGTGCCAGCCATATACACCAGAGCTGGCAGGTTCAAATCCAGCCCGGGCCCGCCAAACAATAATGACAACTACAACCAAAAAAATAGCTGGGCATTGTCGCGGGCGCCTGTAGTCCCAGCTACTTGGGAGGCTGAGGCAAGAGAATCGCTTAAGCCTTAGAGTTGGAGGTTGCTGTGAGCTATGATGACAGAGCACTCTACCAAGGGCTACAGTTTGAGACTTTGTCTTAAAAAAAAAAAAAAACACTAAAGATAAGTCACTTGCCCAAGTTCACACAGCTTAGAAGTGTCAGAGTTAGATTTAAATCTATTTCTCTTTTCATCTCTCTAAGCCACATTTCAAAGAAAAGGAGGCCAGTGTGGACTGTCTGGAGGGCAGGGACGTGGACCCCCAGCTCCAACTGAGCTGGTGAACAGAGGAGTGGATGCCAGGTGGGGTCCCTGACTCCTAGCTTTGATTGTGCCCAGGGGACAGGGGCCTTTGATTGTGCCCAGGTGAGACTTTGATGGGCAACTGGCAGCTCACCAGACAGGACCAGGTGCCATACCCTCAGGGTTGTGGGACAGAATTGACTGAGGATTTCTATCCACAGTTGGAGACCCTTGGATCCCTCTCTGTTGAGCAGGGATTGTACTGCCTGAGATAATTTGATTGGAACTCAAGTCTGGGGCTGTCCACCCCAAAACATTCTGAGGTTTACCTTCAAAGTTCTATAGTGGAAAAGACCTGAATGGTGGGGGTAGGGTGCCGCAGCTATCTGTATCTCTCCCCAGTTGAGATTTAAACCTAATACTATGACTTCTTAGGATACAGTAGAGGTTGGCTGATTTCAAAACAGCCAGCTTGCACTATCTCACCAAGTAGGGCCTCAGAGTCTCCAACCAAAACTCTGAAAGGGGCCTTTGTAAGGTTGTAGGGGATAAGCCACAATTACAAAGCCTAGCACTTTGGTAAGGGGCTAATTAACTCTACTACCTGGGAACCCCAATTCAATCCCACCCTACCAGTTTTAATAAGCAAACAGTAGAAAATAAACATGGGGCGGAACCAACAGAAGAACTCTGGCAACATGAATAACCGGAGTAGATAACTCCCCTCAGCCAAAGAATGACAAAGGAGATATAACTGAAGATGCCATGCATAGACAAATGGCTGAAATGTCAGAAACTGAATTCAGAATATGGATGGCAAATAAGATAAATAGAATGGAAGGAAAGTTAGAAATTGAAATCCAAAGAGTAGTTCTAAAGTTGTCTCAAGAAATTAATGAGTTCAAAGACAAAGTCACCAAAGATAGAGGCACAATGAGAAAAGAGATAGAAGAGCTCAAGGCAATGAAAAAGTTAGTCAAGGAGCTCCAAAATATAGTAGAATCCCTCAGTATAGAGTTGACAGGCAGAAGGAAGGATCTCTGAAACTGAAGACAAAGCTTTCGAACATTCCCAAACACTCAAAGAGGCAGACAAATAGAGAGCAAAGACTGATCATTCCCTGAGAGAGTTGTGGGATCACTCCAAAAGATCAAACATTCGTCTTATAGGGATTCCCAAAGGAGAAGAGGATGGTCCTAAAGGTACAGTCGCTCCACTCCAAGAGATTTTGGAGGAGAATTTCCCAAGCATTGCAAGAGACACAGAACTTCAGATAGCAGACAGTTTCAGAACCCCAGCAAGACTCAATCCAAATAAAGCATCTCTTAGACACGTTGTGATTAACTTTGCCAAAGTTAAGATGAAGGAGAAAATTCTGCAAGCAGCCAGATGTAAGAAAAGCATCATCTACAACGGGAGAATTATCAGAATGACTGCAGATCTCTCAGCCAAAACGTTTCAAGCCAGAAGAAGACAGGCATTGACCTTCAGTCTCCTAAAACAAAACAACTTCCAGCCCAGGATCCTGTATCCAGCTAAACTGAGTTTTATTTGTGATGGAGAAATCAAATACTTTAATGACATACACATGTTGAAGAAATCTGCCATAACTAAAAACCAGGTCTCCAGGATATTCTCTGACCCATCCTCCACAATGACCAGCACCAAAGTAAATGCTCTACCACCAAAGTAAAGTCACTCAGAATTTTTTTTTTTTTTTGCAGTTTTTGGCCAGGGGCTGGGTTTGAACCTGCCATCTCCAGCATATGGGGCCAGTGCCCTACTCCTTTGAGCCATAGGTGCTGCCTCACTCAGAAATTTTTGAACAAAATCCAACTTCCACAGTGGTGAAAGGATTAAAAATATCCACTGAACATTCGAAAAACATGACACCCAAAACACTACCATGCTTATCAATTATCTCAATTAATGTGAATGGTTTAAATTGTCCTCTAAAGAGGCACAGGTTTGCTGACTGGATACATAAACTCAGACCAGATATCTGCTGCATACAAAAATCTCATCTTACCTTAAAGCAGCAGTTCTCAACCTGTGGGCCACGACCCCTTTGTTTTTTGTTTGGTTTTTTTTTTTTCCAATGAAAATATATCCTGCATATAAGAAATTTACATTAAGATTCCTAACAGTAGCAAAATTACAATTATGAAGTAGCAACAAAAATAATTTTATGGAGACTTTGACCTGGAAAAGGTGGTTGAGTCGCAGTCGGGAGGAGAGCCTCGGCGAGCTGAGGTTAGAATTGTTGAAAGAATCCTGATACAGTTCTACAATGGCCACTGCCCAGTTCTCTCACTCATTCACAGTACAAAAGTCATCTAAGGAAACAGTTTTTCCATCTCCAATCACTAATGAGCATGAGTCATTGATAATGGTGAAGAAAACTTCTTGCTACTTCTACCTCATATATAACATATCTAAGGGGACTGTTTCCAGAGAGCTCTTATGGACAGCGCCATTTGGATGACCTCAGCTTAAAAGTCCTCCGAGAAGACAAAAAATGTCCTGGATCACTGCATATTATTAAATGGATTCAAGGTTGTTTTGATGCTTTGGAAAAGAGACACCTACACATGGCAGTACTTACACTTTACACAAATCCTAAGGAACCTGAAAAAGTGACTGAAATATACCAGTTCAAATTCAAATACACAAAAGAAGGAGCTATCATGGATTTTGACAGCAGCACCACAAGCTTTGAAAGTGGGACAGGCAGTTAAGATTATTAAGAAAGCCAGTGTTCTGGGTGGTGCCTGTGGCTCAAAAGGGTAGGGTGCTGGTCCCATATGCTGGAGGTGGCAGGTTCAAATCCAGCCCTAGCCAAAAACTGAAAAAAACAAAAAAATTAAGAAAGAAAGAAAGAAAGCCAGTGTTCTACTTATCTGTAAATTGTATATACTGATACAGAAACTTGGACCTCTTCCCAATGATGTTATACTTACTATGAAACTACACTACTACAATACA